AAGCCAATTCAAACCACCCGGGAGTAAGTTTCATTGTTTATTTTATTTTCATTTCACAGTTGAATTCTTAGAAACAAAAGTTTTTTCCCACACTGACAGGATTTGAATTGGGTGGCAGCGTACATACAAATGCCGTTAGCCGATTAGGTATATGATGGATTAACAACCAATATAGAATGAAAGAATGTACATGTATTGAGGAATACCAACTGTCTGAATTTGTCGTTGATCAGGTCAATATTAAATGATTTACAGCCTTTCAAAAACGCTAGAATTTCCAAAGAAATGTATAGAATGCTGGACTCTGTATCCCGGGCTGATTTTTTCTAAATTCCGATACATTTCTTCGTAAAAACTAGAATTTTTGAAAAGCTGCCAATCATTTACATTTGATCCACTTAACATCAAAGTTTGTGAGTTTTTTATTCACACTGTGATCTTTCTTTAATTTTATATCAGTTTTGACATTGTGGGAATTAAGGGACTTGTATCCAGTCTCTCACAGGATGAAACCCGGCCATTGTTTAAACTTTTAACCAACCTTATAAAGTCCTGAATAGCTAACTTTTGTAACAAATTTTCAACAGCTTCTCTTGTTGGAGGGATACTGCTTTTCACCTAGTTTGATAATGTTATGATTAAAGCAACAAGTCTTCTAGTGCAGCTATTGAACAATCTTCACTCATAAAACTATTGCCATGATAGACTTATTTCAACCAATATTAACAKCTCAAGGTGYGRAGTCCTAMCCAGWYCCSATTTTCTAATGTTGGGGATGGTGCAAGGACATGAAAAAGCGCAAGAACTACAACTCCCATCATGCTTTGYTGCACAAAAAAGGTAGGTACAAATTGACTATTCAACATGAATTCTGAATAATAAGCTATAGAAATAACATTTGATCGCTTCTCAGTTTATTGTTTTACCCTATAATTATCATTTTAATTCTCATCATAGATGCATAAGGTCCCCATTGTCATCCTAATTTTCGTCATCCTAATTTTGCATTATTCTACAAACTTACATTTTTAAGCAAATGGTTCAAGATATTTAGTGAGTCTACAGGTAAAATAAATGTTGAATCCCACAGGCATTCAATCAGGTTACTTTCCAATAAAGGATCTACTTTAACCAACTCTGCTGCCTTTGCTGCTGTGCTTGTTTCCTCAATGGACTGTGGGGAGGAGGGTGGGGGAGTTGCAGTACCTGAAATAATACCTTGTAAATAATGGCTGCTTTAATTTTTCAAGATTTCCACTAAATATTTTTGTATTCACAACTTTCCATACCCAATGTCAATGACCACAAACAAAGCATTGAAAAGAGGTGTCAAGGGGTAATGATCAGTGTTCCTTGATACCTCGCTTTAATGCTGTGTTCATGGTCGTTGAACCTGTGTATGAAAAGTAAATTCAACGTTTTAAATCATTTACGTTGGGATGCCTGTGGTACTGTATGCGCTATGACACAGGAAACCCAAACATTTACAGACATACATGCATATAAACTTTGTTTAAAGACAATGTAAATTATCTCTTTGATAAAGAAATACAAGAAATCGGTCTTCTAACTATGCACTGACGCWTATTATTCTTTCATTGCCATCACTCACATACATATAAACATGAATGATAGCTGTCAAAGTGATCCATGAGCTTAGATCTTAMAATTATTCAAGGATAACTTCCTTYACAAATTATCACACATACCATCTCCTTCGCTAACATTTATTCCTTGTCGCTCTCTTCTTCTTTTAGCAAGACGTTCACGTAGACTTTCCTGACGTCGCTTGTGCTCTTGAATGTCCGACCATGTGTCCGACATCTTTAAGGTTTAAAAACCTTAAAAAACTTGTGCGAAAGCTGGGAGTCTTTTGTGTTGTATATTTTGAAAACTAAAGAAGATCACCTGTCAAAACAGCTGAATATTTGAGGAAATCAGGTTAGAATAATGCCGAAGATAAAAAAACAATTTTTGAAAAGCGTGCAAAATGACCTCCTGTTCCGAATCATTATCGACTTTCGACGAATGAAGATATGTAGTTTCCGGAACCAATTCGGAAAGTTTAAAAATAATCGACGAACGGTTATTGACTGATACGCTCAATGCCGAAGCTAGTACGATGTTTTGATAAATTGATAAGTGAGCAAAAACTGTCATGGAGGGTTGTTTAAAGGTTCTGAAAACATCGAAAAATGAATCTGATCTCATAAAAGAGTTAAAAATTTTCAGCGAGGATTATCGTTCTACATTCTCGTTCGATGACACTGATGTTTGTTCGCGAAGGGAGTTCATAGACGCAATTTTGAAGGAATTGCTCGATCGAAGTCAYAGCACAGAGTTYCAAGTGAAAKCACTCTCAGCTCTTCGTATTTTAAGCCGTGATAAAAATGGTTTGGGTCTTTTGGTTTCTGAATCTGCTTGTAAGACGCTGTTYATCTTAGCAGGCTTATATGTTGAACCCGAAGARGAAAARAAGKCAGAAAATGGCGAGGGTGAGACATCTCACAAYGCTGAAGGSACCACAGCTGCAGTTTCAAAAGAACAACAAGTTGGGGGCCGTAAAACAAAACCGATGGCGTCTGATCGCAACGAGCAGATTATTATGGACTTTCAGGCAACAAAGGACAATAAAGATACGATTGTTGAGGCGTTGAAATGCTTGTGCAACATATCATTTCAGAATAAAATGGCACGGGATCATTGTATGGCCTATCAGATCTCAGCTGGTCTTGTGAAACGRACCAAACTTTGGTTCAGTCGCGATGAAATTKCATCTGACATCAGCTATTTTGATTTGAGAATGCTTTTCCTTCTTACAGCATATGATCCTTCAGAGCGCATCACAGTTGTCAATCATGGCGGCGTCTGCACACTGACTCAYTGYCTAGACACAGTTATTCCAGGACAGACAGGCAGAGATAGAGTGCATGCTGCAGGTGCTAATGATGGATGTGGAGAGGTGGATTCTGATTCATTAGAAAAAATGAGTGTCATTCAGAGGTATGCTATAGCAGAGCCATTAATCTTTAGCCCTAGGGTGGGGGGAGGGAGGGAAAGTACATGTATTTGTTGTATTATTGAAGGTTTGAATTCAGTTTTTTTACCCACAGGTCTCCATTAAAAGCTAACAATTTACATTTTCCCTGAGGTGAATCTAACACTGTATTCCCAGAAGACTTAAACCKTGTGTCTATTGGGAATACAGGGTTAGTCTCAACTTTGGAAAATRCAGAGTTTCAAGRCTATTGTAATAACARCATTTGCTCACTCTTTCTTTGGTTTTCAGTAAGGTCTTTATGCAAGAGAATCTGTTGTCAAATAAACCAGTGGTCGCTTTAAATTTCAGAATGGAGTATTGTATTGTTATTTGTTTGTTTTTTCAGGTTTATGATAGAAAAATCCCCACACACCTATGACATGGATGAAGAACAAATACGCTTGGCCATTGAGACYTTAAAAGTACTGTTCAACATWACAATGGCATTACCTAAAGAGCTGGATAATGACACAATGGAACATTATGAAAGAGTAGCCCTTATCATATGCAGTTTATTTGCTCACAACAGAAAGATAACACATGGCTCAGAGAGTGTTCATAACCAAGCAATCAATGTCCTGACTAGTTTGCCAAAGAAGTGCTTAAAGTTTATGTACTGGAGAGTTCCAAAGTTGATCAGTCGAGCTCTGAAAGCTCATCATGATTTGAGCATTATAAGTCCATCGTTTAGGCAGTACTATTTGGTAAGTTGTTGAGCATAATAAAATATGTTCATGAATTTTACAATTAAGAAGGCTGAATATTTTGATTAGTTTGTACCGAAATCCCTGATGATGAACTGTTAAGTTCGAAAACGTTCGGTACAAACTAATCAAAATGTTCAGCCTTCTTAATTGTAAAATTTAAAAACCATAGGCGATTATCAATATAAATATGTTCATATTTCTGTTCAAGTCATTGTCTAATACTGAAGAGATTTTATATCTTAATAAGTTGTATAACAACATACCTGTATTGACTTTCAAATTTTTTTGCTTAAAGTTTTCTTCTTTTCCAGTGCTACAACATGTATTCAATCCATGCCATATTGAACATCCTTGATGAGAGAATAACCCATGATGAAGAACAGGATTCCCTTATATCTATACTAAGTGCACTTTGCTGTGCATCCAGAGGAAATAGAATCATCAGAAAGTATTTAAAGTTTGAGATTCTACCACCTTTGGGTAAAGTCACTCACAAAAGGCCAGAGGAAGGGCATAAGATAAGGAACAAACTGGTGAAACTCATGACCTCTCCTGTTACAGATTTAGCTGTAAGTATCATGATAATCCTGTGGTATTTGAGATGTTCTTCAATTCCAGTAGTTTTCTTAACAGTTTCCTGTGCTATCTTGAACGGTAGCCCTGCTTTAATTACATTGAAGGGAGGTAACCATTGAGTACGTGCAGTGATAGTAATTAACCCTCTTTCATATCTACAGAATGATAGTTACTGACATATATCTATCATATTGTATTCTCAACAGTGTCTCACTTCAAGGGCTAACTTTCAAGATCCTGCATTGAACTGTGAAAGAGACTATAATTATGTTTTTTTAAGAATGACAACTTTCTGCTATGAATTTTTAAAAAAATCTTATTTCAATCTAAAAGTTGGAAAACACGCATATTAGATCAGATTCAAGGAGTATTCTATATAATGTTTTAACTATTTTTACGGGCTATGCTAAGATCATTTCAAGAAGTAGCACTTTCTTACAATTACATGTACCACCTCTGATTTCATTATTTTCCTTCAGTTCTCAATAGATTTGATGAATTTGTACTTTGTTATCAAGATGTTTCAAGTATTTGCATGATTATGAAAATTAATTTTCTTGTATATTTAGGATCTGGCTGCAGAGTTTTTGTTCATCTTGTGCAAGGAAAATGCAGACAGGTTGATTAAGTATACTGGTTATGGCAATGCTGCAGGTTTGTTGGCCCGCAGGGGACTGTGTGTAAGGAGAGATGAGGGAGATTATTCATCCGAGGAAGAAGATTCTGACACAGAAGAATACTTGGAAGTCAAGGACCAGATTGACCCAATTCTAGGTGAGTTTCATATTAAACAACTAAGAGACTTACTGCCATTTCACTTAAGCCACCATTCCCCATTTTTTTATTGGGCAGAAAAACACATGATTGAAGTTGATTGCTCAAAGACATACTTGAAAGTAAAACTATTTCAAACTCCCTTCAGTTTCTTAATGTCAGAGCATTTTTCTACTTCATCAGGTGCAATCCCTCACGAGAGGCCAAATCCACTGGATTCAATGACAGAAGAAGAGAAGATCGAAGAGGCTGAGAAATTAAGAAATTTGATCATTGAGCTAAATAACCTTGGAGTTATTAAAACAGCCAAGTTAGGACCAGATGGGCGTCCTGTTGCAACATCTATCAGTGAAGAAACTGATGAAGAGAGCTTGCTTTGTGTTCAGGGTGAAGACAACCAAGACAACAACTCATCAAAGAAGGAAAATAAAGAGTAAATAATAAAAGCAACCTGGGCAAAAACTGTTAACAATGTGACTGTGACTGAAACTGTTCCAGATTCTACAAAACTCAGAGAGACTTTGAAGAAGTTATGTTTGACTTTTACCTTTGCTTTGCCTTCATCAAAGTTTATGGATAATGTTTCAACTGGTTTTGAATGTGTGATTCAGCACTTACAGAAGTATCTGACTACCATAACCGTAATGTTTTAGAGCGGATTTCACATGACTGTGCAACAGCACGGATCACAACACGGACACAGCTTGGCGCGGTCACAGAACCTTGCCTTCTAGGATTCCAAATAGAAATAAAGATTAAACAATTCATCACCGCTACGGCACGGTACGGTTACAGCGCGAAAGTATCATGTTTTTTGCCGTCATACGAAATCCGCTCTATAATGGAAATGGCTGATGAAACCAGAAGCATTTTTCAGCTTGTTCTCAATCAACTCTTTACATCATGGAGACTGTTAACAGGGTATGTGCCCCATTTATCATCATTGGTGTGAAGACCAGTGGAAACAAGTCAATAAACCATGTGGAACAGAATACATGTAATATAAAATTGTGTGTTTGCCCTAATGGTACAAAAGAAAATAGCTGGTAAAGATTGATAAAAAAAATTATAATACTTTCATTTTTTTTTAGAAGTTAAAAACAAGTTAAAATTCCAGTGTAGCTTGAAGCCAAGAACCAAGAACCTTTCTTGTGCAATTTTCTCACTTACAAAAAATAAGTGACAACTTTGATTTGAACCAATCAGAAAGCATCTTTCAACAAAGATCACTTGTAAAACAAAACATGTGATTGCAAAGGTTCTTGGGTACACATAGACCTTTAAGCGTTAACCAGCCACTGATCAAGTGCAACACTACAAAGTGTCTCAGTTCCTTGGAACCAATATAAATTTTAGCTAAGCATAAAACAAATGTTTGCTTAATAATCCATGCTAGTATTTTATTGATTTACCAAAGACAGTATGTCATGCACTTGCGATTGTTTTATTTTATAATACAGTACATTATACCCATAGATGAATTTCAGAATAGAGGTCAGAGAGGCTATGACAAACTTGCATGTACATAATAATATGAAAGATGTATTCAACTTTATGCTAGACAAAGTGTAAATCTATTTATGAAGCATTTTGTGAAGTCTAACAGTATCATAATGGAATTAGAGAGTACTGTAAGTATATCTAATTCATAGAGTAAAGGCTATCAGACAATATCAAAAAAGTCAATAAAAAATGGGGTCCTACATTAGACATTCATTTATCAAAATATATTGTACATGGAGTGCACATACATAGCTCCATCTACAGGTGGTGTATGCTATTCCCTTTGCCTTCTTCTCTACTGTCAGTGTCTTGTGCCCTTTCAAGACCAGAAGTTCATGCAGAGGAGGCTGCTATGAAATATAGTTGCAGAGGAGGATCTAGACTGAACGCACTACCTTAACCTTTGCATATACCAGTCCCAAAAATAGCACATTTCTCCCTTCATATCATCGCCTCTTGTTTTGTAACTTTTATATAAACCCTTTTTCCAAAACATCAAAATGGGAATTATGGCTCGTGCACGTGTTGGTGTCAGAAATGATGTATGAAAAACAGGATTTTGTTACCTTTTACAATCAATCCAATTCAGATTTTTTTGTTTTCTTTCATTTAGAAAAGGAATCCTAACAAATTTTGAGCCCTATTGATGACTATGTAGCCATTGCACCTACTTCCAACTACGGACTGAAAGGTTGAGTAAAACAAGGAAATTTAAGAAAAGAAGGATGAAAGGTAGTGAGTGTCAATTTGAATTTCTAGAAACAAAGGGCYTCCCTKCTATAATATAATTTCTCATACTCATTAATTATTCATGAGGTATCCAGCCAATCCCTGATTGTAATTTGTACCACATGAAGTAAAGCCTCGGACTGGAACTAATTGCGCGGACTTGAAATCCCGTCCAGTCCTCATTGTYGGACTTTAAACATTACATAACAATCAATTAAGACAAACACCCAGATCCATCGCTTCGGTATTTTTTGAATAAAATACCAATAATTATACTTTATTATAAACTACATTTTCTCTATTATAACAACAATAGAAGTATCTTTGTAGTCAGAGTTAAATTCATATGATGCATAATGTACTAAATAATAATTTACAAATGCATAAACACTTTACAGTTATCATTTCATGAGGGAAAAACAAGTTGTTGTTAAGAAAGAACTCAATACAAACAAAATTCACTCTTGGYTCAGGCATTGTCAAGTTACAAAAAAGGCAAGAAATTTTATTTTGAATTTCCTTGCACTTGCCGGTATTATCAACAGCAGTGCGTTTTACTTGTGTTTTCATTGAAATGTTACACTTTGAGGTAAGCTGGTTTAGAAAACCAGTTTTCACAAACTAGTTTAAATTTGTAAACTATTTTACCAGAACTGACCAACCAAAACTGCACCCCAAATTTACTACTTTAGTCAATAAGTACCTCCTTAACTCGCAAAAGCAGAATCCATTGTAATGCAATGGAAGCTACATCTCATTGATTCTTAATACATGAAAAAAGCAGCTTAATACAATTATCACAACAACACAAATGCAAAACAAAAATGTCACTAGAGTAATCTAGCAAAACTTGAAAGACTGAAAATGTTAACATATAAAAAGTAACGAGAATTTTATTCACTCAAATCATAATTATTTTATGTTTTTGTAATTAAGGATGGTCCATTTAACTTGTGATGATTTTGAAAAAAAAA